AATCCATGAGCAAACGTATGAGGAAAATCTATTTTTCTAGGGCCACACAGACATAGTGTTTTTCAATAAAAAAGTATATTTCATGAAAAGCATAAAGAAAGTGAGTAATATATTTTGTCCATATTTTATTTTCAATTAATCTCTATGAAATAAGCCTAATCACCATTTATTTGTTGACTTATTTATGCAGCAAATTAATTGAGCACCATCTGTGAGAAGCTACTGGGATTTCAGTATAATGAAACAAGACATAGTCCCTGCCCTTAAGGACTTCTCTCTAGGAAAAGAGACAAAGAAACAAACAATGAAAGGGCATAAGAATTTCAATTTGTGACACGTGCTGCTGTGCTACATAATAATAGCGTGGCTGGGGGACAAGGGGACAAGCGGTAATTAAACTGAGCACATACTCCTGGCATGGGGACCAGCAAGCGCAGAAACCCTGAGACTGGAAGGAGTTTGATACGATCTAGAATTTGTTCTCGGTCCAGTGTGGCTTTAACACACTGATCAAAGTGGAAGAAAAACAAAGCTGTGGTTTAAAAAGAAAGAAGGGTCACATCATTTAGCTCTTTCAAAGGGAATTTTGATTTTATATTGTTCAAAGAGAGGGTGTTGAACATCTTTAAGTAGGAGAGAGATATAACATGCTTTGCATTCTAAAAGAATAATTGTTACTGTATAGAGAACGGCTTGTGTAGTGGCAGGAATGGAAGCTGGAAGCCAAGTTAAGAGACTTTGCATCAGTTTAGTGGATTTTGTTGGCCATGCCTAGAATAAAGCCTTGCAGAGGTTAAGAAAGGCAGAGATGAAGTGTTTTCATTTAACTAATTAATGCTTTCAAGACAAAGAATAAACATAAACTCTCTCTCTTAGAGATAAGATAATTGTGGGATAATAAAATATCCACATGTAAGTGAAATCATATGATATGCTTCATTCTCTGGCTTATTCCACTTAGCATAATACCCTCTAGATCCATCCATGTTGTCACAAATGGGAGGATTTCATTCTTTTATATGGCTGAGTAATATTCCATTGTACATGTAAACATTGCATATAAAGATATATCACTTCTTTATTCATTCATCTACTGATGATCACTTAGGTTGCTTCTATATCTTGGCTATTGTAAATAATGCTGCAAGGAACATAGGGGTGCATATATCTTTTCAAATTAGTGTTTTTGTTTTCTTCAGATAAATACCCAGAAATGGTATTGCTGGATTGTATGATAGTTCTATTTTTAATTTTGTGAGAAAACTCCATATTGTTTTTCAAAATGGTTGCATAAATTTACATTCCCACCAATAGTGCATGAGAGTTCCCTTTTCTCTACATTCTCACCAACACTTTTTTGTTGTCTTTTTGATAATAGCCATTCTGACAGGTGTGAGGCAGTTGGATCATGCTTTAGGAAGCACTTCTCTGTCACCTAAGGACTCTAACAAATGCTTAGTTGAGAGGTAGAGGGAGAATTTATGGTTTTCCAAAAAAACCACACAACAAATTAAGAGATGTTCAATTTGTCCTTTGGAATCACATTTATTAATGCACTGAATATCTAACATTGATTCTTTTGTGTTTGAAGATTTAATTGCTTCTTCTCCTTCCTCTTGAGTCTATACTGAGGTCCTGGAGATATGAGCGACTCTGTTGACTTTTGTCCTCTATTTGGAGAAAAAATGAGAAGGCATGAAATTCATTACTTTCTGAATCATCAGCCCTTTCTAAGGCTGTTGAGGAATTAAGAATAATATTGATAGGTTGCTGGAGTATAGGGTGCCTCCAGAGTACTGACAGAGGCTCCTTTTGAATGCAGGGTAAACTATTGATAAGTCTCATGTTAGAAATCTTTGGTCCTCTGTCTCTCCATCCTTGGTATCATATTCTATCAGTTGAGTCCTTGTTTCACATAGAGTAATAATTACTTTTCACTTTCACAGTGAAGTGGCTGTACATTTGTATAGTATTTCTGGTTAACATTTTAATAGCAGGCACTTTGGAAGTTAACATTTTCTATACATGTTGCGTAATGCTCACCCTTGTACAGGTCAATGCAAATGAGAAATGATACTAAAAAGCACTATATTTTTCTTGAAGGATAATAATGGTTTTCTCTTAGCTGTGCCTCCTCACACCCTAAGGTAAATTCTGGCTCATCCTATCCATCTGACATCTTCCTGAAGAGTGTCTAAGCATCCTATTCTCTAAGTATCTACGAATGGATAATTGTGGATACGAAGAGTCTATGTATGAACTCTATATAGATAATTGAAAATCATCTTGGCAACGTTCTATTTAACTCTTCAATTTTAAGTAGTCAATAAATTATTTTGTCTGTTAATTAAGTTCTGCAGCTATTTTTAAAACCACTGTACATAGCTTCTAAACTTTTCCTATTTTTCCTCCAGAGGTTTCAGAACAATTCTTCCCTGAGCTTCATTATTCTGCCCATGGAAATATACATGCTTTAATCCTTGATTCGGCTGTGAGGCAAAAATCATAGGCATATTTTCTTTCCTGCTTTGTTAACAGAGAACCACATTGCTCACACGTTAAAAATTTACTTCTCCTCTCTCAAGTAAAGAATCAAATGTGTTCTGATAAATGAATTTTGGATGTTTGTCTCCAAAACGTTGCTCACTGAGCAAATGTACATACGAATACATATGCACTTACACACACACACACACACACACGCAGGCCTGACATACACATAAGAGAGACAATCAGGAAATTTTTCAAGGGATCTTCTGTTTATGCTTTATATGTGAATATAAAGACAACACCTCAGTCTGGGGCATCATTATATCAGAAGGTTCGTTGAGTTTCATGAGTATATCATGGTAAAAACATGAATTCAACATTTGCTTCCCTATATATCCCAAGGCTTCTACCATGACACCTCTTCAAGGTCAGCTTTACTCGTATTTCTGTCTTCTCTTACTTCCAACAACCTCTATCAACTCTCATGTACCTCGTGGAAAGGTCTCAACATCTTTCTCAGCACAGTGTGGGAAGGTTGATGGAAGTGTTCTTCTTATCTACCAACACCCTGCTTAGAATTATCTAAAGAAGAAAGGAAAAAGAAATCAATGTCAATTTTCAGGTCATTATCTCATAAGGCTGATGCTTCGCCACCTCCAAGCTCCACTAAATCCATCTGGAGCAAGACTGAGATCCAGGAACTCATCACCACCCAAATACTTGGGGAGTATAATTTACAGTATAGTCCCAGGAGTATGTTTGTCCTTATTACCACATGAGGTTCATGTGTATGGATCCAGTAGAGTATTAAATCATTACCTGCCAGCTCCTTTTCTTCTGAACCTCTATCCCCAGGGCCCAGAGAAATGGAGACAGAAAGAAAAACAACTTTTGATTCTCTTGGTAGAAATGGTATCTATGTCTTATGAGTCCCTGTCCCCTCTCCCTCAGGGACACTCAGGGACAATCTGGGAGGGCTTGCATGGAGATGAGCTCACCATAAAACCTTTACTGCTGCTGCTCACAGGGAGCAGGCTCCAGTCCCTGCATCAGCCTGTGTCAAGAGAACAGGGACCACTCCTGTACCTGCGAAGTCCCTCTTTCGGAGACTGGCGGGAGCAAGATCCTCAGCTCTGACCTTCAAAATCTCTCCTGACTTCTGTGCAATTTACTCTAAATCTAATCCTACTTCTGATATAAGACCAGGGCTGGTGCCACAGTGAGTAAAGGCTTTTTGTAGAGTGTGGTAGTTTAGAGAAGCTCGGGTCCGGAGGAAGGAAGGGCTTCAGAAATCAGCAGACTGAGTGGGAAGTACAGGCTCAATGTTTAGGCAGGAGCATTCTGAGCTTAAAACAGGGTTGGAATTTGAGGAGCTAGGGTCATAAGCTGCACATTGAGGATGCTCATGTATATCACGAATTGTCACGTAGTAAGTGTATACTTCTATGGAACATTTTAGTGTTTCCCTTTCTGTCACCCCTGTGGCCATACGGTTGGTGGAATGGCAGCCAGAGAAAATGAAAGAAGAGTCAAAAGACTTCATTAAATTCCAGGCTATGCACTTTGGATGTTGTTGCTAATGTAATGCCTTTCGTTCACCCATCCATTCATCTATCCATCCACCCAACAAATGTATTGGGTACTGTCCAAAGGCAGTGAGGTCTAGAAACAGCATCTACTCAGAACCAGGAGAGCAGCCTTGCAAGAGGGTAGGGCAGGGCAGGAGTAGGAATATTATACAATTAACTCTTTACAGTGATAACCTCTTGCCCTGACCTTACACCCTAAATTACTTCTATGAATGCTGACCAGATTAATGATGTCGTTATGCTCATGCCCAGAATGGAAACAGCCAGATTTTGTTGTGCCACACCAAGAAGTAAAAACTTAGTGCCAATTCCATTTGCTAAAGCCCTAAAACTAGTGAACACAGAGGGAAACAGACCTCTGTGAAGTTGCATTGGTTAATCTCACTCCCTAGTTCACTCATTCCTATATTTATTCTACAATTATTTAGTGAGCACTCGCTATGTGCAATGTACTCTGCACAAGTTATAAAACAAGAGCCAATTAAATGATAAAGGGAAAGTGACAACAAAGTTTGAAAACTAAATACACTAGAAATAAGACTACATGAGAATATGGCTATGAATCTTTTTCAAAAATAAAATGATTAGTGATTCTGGAGAACAATTTATTCTGTGGCTGCCATCATGATAGTAAAAATATGGATCTTGCAATCAAAGTTAAATAAAATTCTGTACACATGAAAATGGTACCTGACACCCCATGTTCACTTACACTAGTTACCTGAACAGATTTTCTTTCTGCTTTACTATGGATTAAAGGATTTGACATAATGACTCTGAAAGGGTTCCTGGCTGTGTCAACACATTGTATATACCTTAAACCTCCTCTTTCTGTTAAATTCCTAATCCAGATCTGCATTTTCTCCTCAGCACACAGCGCACTGCAGCAGCAGAGACCAACACAGGCACTGCAGCCAGGGCATGTCAGAAAATCAGACATGGATCACAGAATTCATTCTCCTGGGATTCTCACTCAACCCAAAGATACGGATGTTCCTCTTTGAGCTCTTCTCCCTGTTCTACACCTTCACTTTGCTGGGGAACGGGGTCATCCTGGGCCTCATCTGGCTGGACTCTCGACTGCACACACCCATGTACTTCTTCCTCTCACACTTGGCCATTGTTGATGTTTCATATGCTTCAAACAATGTCCCGAAGATGTTGGCAAACCTTCTGAACAAGAAAAAAACTATCTCTTTCATCCCATGCATAATGCAGACCTTTTTATATATGGCTTTTGCTCACACTGAGTGTCTCATCTTGGTAATAATGTCCTATGATCGGTACGTGGCGATCTGCCACGCGCTACGTTACTCTGTCATCATGAGCTGGAGAGTGTGCATTGTTCAGGCCGTCACTTCCTGGGCATGTGGCTCCCTCCTGGCCATGGTCCATGTTGTTCTCCTTCTGAGACTGCCCTTCTGTGGGCCTCATGAAATCAACCACTTCTTCTGTGAAATCCTGTCTGTCCTCAAGCTGGCCTGTGCTGACGCCAGGCTCAACCAAGTTGTCATCTTTGCTGCTTCTGTGTTTATCTTAGTTGGGCCCCTCTGCTTGGTGCTGGTCTCCTACACACGCATCCTGTTTGCCATCCTCAGGATCCAGTCTGGGGAGGGCCGCAGAAAGGCCTTCTCCACCTGCTCCTCCCACCTCTGCGTGCTCGGGCTCTTCTTTGGCAGCGCCATCGTCATGTACATGGCCCCTAAATCCCGCCATCCTGAGGAGCAGCAGAAGATCCTTTCCCTGTTTTATAGTCTCTTCAACCCTATGCTGAACCCGCTGATCTACAGCCTGAGGAACGCAGAGGTCAAGGGGGCCCTGAGGAGAGTGCTGTGGAAGGAGAGATCAATGTGAGGGATATCAGGGAGAGCCTCAAAGGTGGAAGATTTGTTCTCTATGAGATTTGAGGGAATGGTAATGTAAATACCTTAAAATCTCATGTCTTTGATCTCCGATATTGAGAGTGTCTATTGATCAGACTCTGTCCCTAACAGGGGGTACTGGCCAGACCGGAAAGCATAAGCAGAAAGTCCTGGAGAGCACAGGCCACTAGACAAGAACAGTCATGAAGTGATTTAGTGCAGGAGGTGAACCTTGAACTCCCATGGCCAGTTCCCATCACTAACCAAGATCCAGTTTGTTTTGAGGCTTTGTTCTTTCAAATCTCCTCTTAAATTCCTCTATGATTTCCATCTCCCTTACTGCTGTAAGTGCATGCTAGTAATTCCGTAATATATGCTGCTACAAGAGTGCACCTCTAACAAGACAGAATAAATTCTGACCTTGGTTAAGCAGTCCCCTGCTAGGAAATGCAGTAAGGACTCTGGGTAGAGCCAACACCCTTGTCTGGAACTTAAAATTTAAGGATGATGCCATCAGTTCTGAAATGTCATCTGAATCTGAATCTATTTCTATAAAAAGCAAAGTTTAACTTCATGGATTATTTTTATATGAGAGGCAGAGAAATAGCAAGCTCTTTGTTTCATTTAATTCTGCACCATTTAATTGAAATGATTTTGTGTTTCGAATAAATATGATAGTCAGTTATAGGAGAGTTACATTTTCCAGAGTTCAGTTTACAAAGCTTAGTGTAGGTGAAAACTGACCATTATGATGACTGCATAAAATATTATAGGAGTAAGAAAATATTGTAAAAGGAAGAAAGCATCAAGAGAAGCTAATAGCATCACATAACGTTGTAGATCAACACTTAGAACCAATAGCACAATCAGGTCTGATAAGGACTTGTGGGAACCTCAACAAAATTCCAAAGAGCATCTGGTCCAGGTGATATAAGTCACTTACTCTCAACCCAAGTGGTCAGAATGGTATGGAAGAGTGATTTGTTTTCTTTCAACACAATCAAGACCTAAGTGGCCAGCACAGTATGAAAACGGTGATTTCTTTAACACAGAGACTATAGTATCTTTTGAATTCTCTTCTCTTCCTCTCTACTCTTGTAGAGTCACATGTCATTCAAGTGTATGATATATGATGATAGTATATTACTATCCACTTTCTATAGATCTTTCTATTTTTTCACCCTAATTCTCTCACATACCATTATGACTCCATATCTTCCTTCTTCCATGAAGTTAAGGCAAAGGGGAAAGTTTTCTCTTCCTCTTCTCTCCTAACGCACTATTTTCCTCTTAGTTCTCAAAAATTCTAGTTGCTTGGACTGGTCCAGTTGCCTAGTGGTTAAGTTCCTATGCTCTGCTTTGGCAACCTGAGGTTCACAGGTTCAGATCCCAGGCGTGGACCTATGCACCACTTACCAGGCTATGCTGTGCTGGCATCCCACATACGAGAATAGAGGAAGATTAGCACAGATGTTAGCTCAGTGACAAACCTCCTCAAGCAAATAGAGGAAGATTGGCAGCAGATGTTAGCTCAGGGCCAATCCTCCTCACCAAAAAAATAACAAAAAAAAAATCTAGTTGCTGACCATTCTATCTGTTAGTTCATTTGGGCAAAACATTTTGTCTCTGGTCATTATCTTAGTCTTCTTACCTTCACGGTTTCGGGACATTTTCTGCCCACAGAAGTCCACAAGCCTTGCTCTGGTCCCCTGTCCCCCCACAAAAAGAACAATTCAAATAAAGAAATAAACATTAGCTTTAAAAATAGCTATTAAGCTCTATGGAATTATTGTGTGCCCTATTTTAAAGGTAGAAAGAAAATTAACAGGCAACATTTTCATTAAAAAATGGCATTCTAACTATACCTAGAAAAATTATCATATTGTCTAAAATATATATACCTTGCATTAAGGTTAAAACTCTAGAAGGGAAGAGGAAGAGGCAAATACGGAATAATTTCTTTCACATAAAACATAAGCCATAGGTTTGAATTGAGAATTTTTCTACAAGGGCCCTTTAGAAAAATCAGGGGATGGCATTCATTCTTATGTCAGTTCAAAAATGCTTGAGAAAGAATAGACCAAAAGGACTAAGCTTCTGCGAAGATAGCTGCGTAGATGAATTATCAAGAGTTGTCCTCTAGCGGATCTGAGGAGTGCCTCTGACTGAAAAAATACAACAAAACCATGTTTTGTTAATAAATTTCAGAAAATACCTGAGTATATGAGATATTACTGTTAATTTTCAATATTTGAGTTTTAGGATTTTAATACACAAATTATATTTTGGTGTTATGACCTCTTTATATACGTATTCCTTTAACATTAGTCACCATTTTCAAAGGTCTGAGGGCAAGAGGAAAAAGGATGCATTTACTTTATGCTGAGGATTCTGCCAGGTGCTCCCAGGTGTTATCCCATTTCTCTGTCACCAATAGCACTGTAAACCAGATATTATTTCCTCCTTTAATAGATAAGGAGAAAAAGTTTCAGAGTGATTTAGTCACTTTCCCTACCCCACCCAGCCACTAATAGGATGGAGTTGGGAGTTTAACATGGTTGTACAGATTCCCAATCCACAGTGCTTATTAGCTTTCTTCCCAAAACATAGATTTTAGTTCAACATGGGTTAGACTTGGCATCCACATGATGGAGCAGAGGGGAGGGAAAAAAGCTTATATTGTGCGGCCAAAGCATTAACATCAGAAAGAGTAAATCTTTTGGCCAGCCCATCTTTAAGGGGCTTATTACCCTTGATAAGAACAGAAACCCTCACCTTAGTGGCCTAATCATTCCCAGTTACAATCCCCCTCCATGCCTCTCTAGAAGAACAGCCCCAGAGGGCACTGCTCCAAAGGGGCGATCGTAAGACACCATGCTGTTCTCAGTATCTCGTCTGACATATAATTCTAGCCTTTTTCCTATCATCAAATTTACCCATTTGTTTTCTTTTCCTTTATAATTAATGCCCTCCCAGGGAGCTTCCCTGCCCCTTCTGTCTATAGACACAGGCAGGACCTACCTCACCAGTGCTCCAGGCTGACAAGACTGAGGAAAAGCGAGAACCCAACTCAGGCTTAAATTGAGGTGCTTGCTATTTTGGATTCACCTTTTGGTTGTGCCACAGCTTACTAAATAGGTCTGCCTCTAAGCATAATTTAACCTCCCCAATCCTGGGCTTTACCTTAGGTCAGATATGGATAACAATGCTTTAACTAGATACCTCACATAACTTTTATTAATGTTAAATGATATAATTTATGTGAATTCAGTTTGAAGAGTGATTATATATATGACTATATATAGGTATATATATTGTATATATAATTTTGATAAAAATGGTATAATGGGAATGAAAATGATCACACAGTGAGAGTGCATGCTGGTAGAATTCACAATTAAAAAACTACATTGTTTTGGTTGGTTATTTTGGAGAAAGTCTCAGTCAAAAGTGGTTGAAAGATAGTGCATAGGAGGCTAGATCTAGAAGCTATTGTTTTAAAGTTCTGCGTTGAATCAGATACAAGGCTCCCTAGGTATGAATCCAAATTTTGTTTCAAGCCTTTTTACTAATAATTATGGAGAAGACACTCAAGATGCTAGATTTTTGGTAAGGGTGCTCTTATGGTCATTTTTCTTTCCTTTTTTTTTTGTCCTTCATTCCTAGGAGTTGGTGATGGGCTAGACAGTCTCCAGAGGGTTTGCAATCTCTTTGAGATAAGAGAAACTGAATTGCCTCTAGAGCTGCACTTCCAGTCTTGTAGGGATTTTTTTAAGGACAACTGCTCTTGATTTCTCAGAAATTGTGTTGCAGCTCCAATGACATTATATGTTAGTCTACCTGTCCAACTACATCACAAAGGCACAGAGAAACCACTCAAGTTTTCTCAAAGATAGAGTTGCTAGGATATTTCCATTATCAGCTTTTAACTTCCCAATACCTACAAGCATTTTGAGAGGAATAGGGGAGGCTTCGGGATTGGAAAAGGACAAGGGAACTTTGAACCACCTTCTAGAGCCATATCTCTGGCCCTGCAGGGATTTGCAAGACAAAGATGTTGTGTCAGTTCCCCAAAGATCTGGGAAGAGTTTGACCCACCCCTTCAGCTATACATTTTCAACTTAGTTTTTCTAATTTAAGGATCCATCCTCTGACCTTTGATGAGTAGGATCTTAATAGCAACTCAAACCAGTAAACATTTATATCTTAACTATGGATGCAAGAGGCACCCCCAAAACAGAGTACAAAAGGAGCAGCCCTCATGAGATCCAGAAAGTTCACTTCCAAAAATAGTCCAGGAAAGCAAAGGCTTCTGCTTCACAGGTGGTAGTGCAATAACAAACAGAAAAGGTTGAGATGACAAAGGTCCCTGATGGACTGGGACCCCTCATGACGGAAGAGGTCACAAAGCCAAGCTCTCAAGACATAGAACAAGACTGAAAGAAAAAACAAAACCTCGTCTTATATGCACATTAATGGCTTTAGCTACACTTTGGGTCTCTCGAAGCCAGACTAATACCTAGGCAGGAGGTTCTACGGGGCTGGGCATTGTGTGTATGCTTTACTGAGTACCTCATCATTGCATGGGCAACTTCTTGAGGTTGGCAGGGGACCTCTTGTCATCTACCCTATTCCATGACCAACTTATCCTATCAGAGGAGTCTTTCTGAGGTGGCGAGTGCCCTAATGCCTCTTAACTGCTCTAGCTGTGCCCACCAATATTGTGACATTTTTTGGCTTCCAAGATGTCCCTTAGCAACAGCTAACACCTTACATGCATACTCTGTAGGCGGGCCCTACAGCAACGTTTACTGTGGCCTGTCCAGACGATAGGCTTAAGGAGAAGCCTGCATCTTGCCCTATGGTATTTTCTTCTTAGGACAAATGACACCAAAAAAACAGAGACGAGGAAAAATAGCGACTGTCTCTGGGAAGAGAAGGATCAGTAAACCAACGCGTATTCAGTAGCTTGCACTATGTAGTTGTAGCTAA